TTCCAGACATCAAGGAGAGAGGAACTGAACATCCGGGAGTCACTGAGACTATTTCTGAACAAGATATTAAAATAATCTACTGTCAGTTACGGAGACTGGAACAATGAGCGAAATACTTAGGAGAATAATAAGACTGATAGCTAATTACACTTCAGTCAGTAACTACTATGAATTCGTATGAGTGGTTTTTCGACATCGATCCTCCGACTATTAAGAGAATGGAAAATGTCATAACAAAATCAAAGTGAACGTGATTAGTGTGACTCGATGAATGATTGGTCCTGATGAATTCAATGTTCGGATCTTTAAATTTGATGATCTAGTCATAGCTGTTAGATTGACTGACATCCTAGGTGGAGTCTAGTGACTTAACTTAATCCTTTTTAACTGGTCTTAATCGATGAACAGCTCAATCTATAAGAATGGGCAGAAATCCCATTAGTACGATGACCACAAGAGGATGATTCTGACAGAAAGTATCTGAAATATTAGCCTTTTTAATGTTACGCTCATCTCTAGGTATGCTTAAACTATTAGGAGTTCACCCAAGCTGTACCAGCAGGAAGTTTTGATATAACTTATAAAGTGTATTCTACAAACACCCAGCCAGCATACAATGAATCCGAGCACTCAAATTGCGTTTATTTATACTCTGTAGAGACGTCCTTGGGACAGTCACACAAATAGCACACTAAAATGACACGTTACCCAATCACAGCCATGATTTTCCTGCTGAGAAATGTGATCTCACGGTCAGCTGATCGGTCTTTGAAATAAATCCAAAATAAAGATATCTGTCAAGCTAGTTATGGGGATCTAACATACCCAAAAATTACCCACTTAGTGCCCAGCTAGCAACCGTGACGAGCAACTTCGAGAAAACTAGGCTCGTCTCAGACCTGATTGACAATGTGTAGACCGTAGTGGTAGATAAATACCCAAACTAAATATACTTCTGTAGGCCTTCAACATTGAGGTTGACCTCGTTAGTTTTAGTAGACACATCCTAGCTGAAGGCACTCGATCACTCATTCCCACCAGATCACCGTTTGGTACGCGCTACACCGAATCTTGCCACACCAACTAACAAGCTTAGTTCAACCAATGCTTGGCATCCTGACCCTTATTCAAGCCTACCTTCGATCTTGCTCATTTATGAATTCTATTTTGACTCATGAGTGTTGATTCTGGATGTTGTTACGGCTAAATGCGTTGTGCATCTATGAGTGACTTCTTCAAGACCAAATATTCTCCCATTCTCAAGGTTCTGGAACGCAGACGAACACGCCGACTCTCGGTTACAGTTGTATTTCCCGACCTCAGAGAAGCATTGTAATGCGTAGATTGGTAAGTTCCCATTCCACGGCGAAACAGCCGTGTTTCAGTGCTTTCAGTGTTTCTAATTGTTGTCTAGGATTGATCGATTCATGGTTTCAAAAAATGTGCAACTTAACAATCGTCACAACCCTGTAATGAAATATTTTTTCGCTGCCTAGATAAACTTCGTTGTAGTTTTGGGTGTTGCTGCTGTTGACTTTTTGTGTCCGATCGATGAGACGAATAACAGTGTTTTCATTCATTTTTGATAAAAACATTTTTTTTCTCTGTTTTGTTAATGTTTTTTTATCACTCAATTAAATTTTAATGATAATGGACACATTGTCGGTATGCATGTGTGTGTTTTATATTTTTTCTTAATGACAACAAACATATCCATCATTCTATCGGTAAATATGGCCGTTTGTGTTTAACTGATTGTTTCATTTCAGTCTGTCATCATGATTTATTGGTTGTTACTGTTCTCTCCTAATGAATGTGAATGAAAAGAGGCTGAAAACCCTAACCGGGTGGGGCAATCAATGTACGTGTAACTCTAGTTGTTATCACTATGCCAGTCTATTTATATGTGATGATAACGAAGCCAGTTAGTTGTATAACATAAGATTTCATATAAACGTGAGACATATGTTCAGTGTTTGTGTTTTTTGTTAACTAGTCAAGTGGTAATTTGATCGTTGGCATAGATTCATGAACAAATTTCTTAAGTAAACTATTCATTCTATAGAATGTAGAGGAATTGTTTTTAAATGGTTACTGAATGTTATAGATAAGCTGGATGGAGTTTGTTGATTTGATAGTTTATATATCACGAACACTCGTCTTCTTAGGTTAAACAAATTGACAAGAAGTGATTGGATGAATATGTGATCCTTGTATAGCAGCACTCTTTAGAATGAGACATTCATGCGCAAGTATGCAACTGAGTATTTTAGTTAATGGAAGCATTTTAGTCTGTTTACATTTTCAGTTGTAGACAGGTGTTGAGTTATTGATGAGATAGATGATTTCAAGTGTAATATGTCTTCCATGATGGTGCTCACATTGGTGAGTCTACAATCTGCATAGACTATACTCTGTTTTAATTTTGTCTGTTGTAGTGGACAATCGACTTTGTTAGCTTGTCACTGATATCGTTAAGCATTTCTCAACATGTAAGCTTCACTGTACCTATCTACCTACTTACCTAACAGCACACTAAATAAAAATAAACTGATGACATAATAGGTGATTTCGTATCACATGATCAGATGTGATCATCATAATGAAGCAACGGTTTTAAATTCCGTTTCTTATCCTGTTAATCAATAGAGTATAAATGCAACTCTCAGAAAATTATGCTTACTTAGGTATTTGCTATCACTGTTGAAGAAATTTTTCATTGATCCATCCAATGAGCATTAGATACATATAGTATAAATTACTTGGAATAAGTTGATGAAATCCAGTCACCTCAACTCATTTCTCCTTCGTTTTAGGTTCCGAACACTATGAGAATTGAAGATAACTTGGACTTTGATTGACGGAAAGTCAACGTAGTGATCGTCAGTAGTGGTGAGCAGTTAAGTGAAAATGAGGAGAAGAGTGTTTGTGATAGTAAACAACTTTTCAGACATCAAGGAATGAGGTACTGAACATCCGGGAGTCAGTGAGACTATTTCTGAATAAGATAGTAAAATGATCTACTCTCAGTTAAGGAGACTGGAACAATGAGCAAAATACTTTGGACAATAATGTGACTGTTCTCTACCGACACTTGAGTCAGTAACTTTTATGAATTAGTATGAGTGGGATTTCGACTTTAATCCTACGACTATTAAGAAAGTTTTTGTAACCAGGAATCGATCAACGTTAGACCACCATTAGAAACATGGAAGCACTGGACGGCCTTCAATTCCTGGTTTGGGACTCTTTAGAAGTGCGCATACACGACTCCTGCAACCCGCAGGATTCGAAACGAGGACATTCAGTATTGTGCTCGAACGCTTAACTACTGGACCAGTGAGCCGTAATAAATCTTATGAAAAATCTAGGGTGCTTGGTAAGTATCGCGAATTCATTGACGAGGTAGTGAATCTAAATCACATGAGATAGTTAGGACCTAGGTTACGTGTTTTCGTCAATGGACTCTCTGGAAGTGCAGTGATGTCTCATGAGGGAGTGGGGTGAAAGAAAGCTACGAGTAGCTGCCAAACCAAGACACAGTATCAGTTGAGTAAAATACACACTGTTGGACTGAGTCATGTAGATGTATCTCGATTATCTAGTTGAGCTATGAATTTCTGTCATAATCAATGGTTTAAGACTGAGTGACATAACACATGATCGTTCGCGTTAGAGCAAATCTATTCACTTCTTGTCTTCTTTCATTTACATCTACTTACTCTGATATGAACGTTTGTGAGTGGAAATATTTTTAAATAAATCGTCATTCAGTGATTCAGTCAGTCATTCACTTAGTTACAACTTAGAACCTGACACAAACTTATGTTAGTTCAATTTAGCATACCACATTAACACACAGAGATCGATTTTCGAATCTAAATCCTACAGTAGTATAGATAGTTGTGTTGTGTGTGCTACTTATACGAACGATATAAGTAGTATAAGAAGGGACGTGAAAGAAGAAGTTTCACGGTCAGAAGAGGAAAACGGAAAGCAAATGAAGCAAAAGCAAGAAGTAAATGGAGTAGTATCAACAAGAATGGAAGGAAGCAACAACAGGAATGGAAGAAGGATGGAGTGTTGGAAGTCACGACTCAAAGAGATGTGCAAATAGAGCGTATTCAATGTGATGTTCGCGTTTTTCTAATTGACTCAGAGTGTAAATTAGCAGAATACGAGCCTCCTCGCCTACCTCAGTCTTCTTAGTAGAAGTATAAGCGGTAATGGAGAAGATTAGTGTTAAAAGATATGATTCAAGAAGTATATCCCAGTGGAATCAATTCACACAGATACAAAATGTCATGAGGAATTCAAGAGATCATAATTTGAGCGAAGATAGAGAAAGGATGCACCTACACCATTGCAAAAATGTTTTTTGAGCCATAACGTTTAAAGCCTGTTACCAACACTTCCGTTTATCTGAAGTACCAGAAAACCACGTAGTCTACACCTACTAACATTGTAGTGAAGGAGAACACAGGTGGGGCAACCAAAATTTTATTTAACGAAAATTACAGAGTTACTCAGTAAAATCGGAAAACCATATCGTAAATTGTTCATTTGCAAAATATCAGTTCATCATATCGAACTTAACTGTTCCTGTTGCGAAACATCAATCCATTGTCACTATTCCTGCGTTTCATACAAATTCCATTGTGTTCTTCTAACTCTTCCTTTCTTGATCTTCCCCCATCTTCTGGTGCCAGACATTACGTTGACACTCACGTCATATACTACTTATAAGTAGCTCGCACCACAACATGGCCGAATCCAGGTGTCAGTGATTTCATCTATTTGTGCCATGTTTTTATTTGATACCTCGAGTCGGTTCATGGTTGCACCTACTCACATATCAACAATGTATTATAACATCTTTTAGATATGAAAAAAAAACGCAGCAAATCACTTTATCAGTAGTATATGAATTTTATTCATTTATTTTTAAAAAACACAATATACATATTATTCACTTCTGTACATATTAGCGTATATTATTATTAAGTATACTGTGATGTTGACAAAATACATGATGTCGGCGGTTTAATATTCAGTTTTAATAATGAATTTATCTGATGATTTGAATAATTACTGAAATTAGTTAATAAAAGTGAATGGTCATGTGTATTGTTATGATGAACACTGTGATTGGTTAGATTATAAGGATGATGGTCATTGAATAAATTTGTCAGCGAATTCGGCTGATTAAATGAAAATAACGGCGACTTGAATGTTCAATAGTTCACATTATTAGATACAGTATTGATGGTATCATTATTGATTTTTTCCTCAAATGTAGAATTTACACCAACTGGCTGATTATTCTCTTTGTATTCATTCTCAGATGTTGGTAGTGATTGTAACATTGAGAGTACTGAGGTTGGATAACTGAATGGCGTTGGAGAAAAAGCAGGCAAAACCGTTGGTTTCACTGATTTCAACGATGAATGGACTGTTGACAATGACGAGGTTGATGTTGCGGATAACACTGATGTGTCCATCGAAGATACTATTGATAAATGCTTTATTGAGTCATTATTTGACATGGTTGTTTCATACTGACATAGTGATTGATTTTGTGATACAGCGCTGTCGAATTTTTCTTGTAATTCAGTTAAATTTTTTGTCAAAAGAAGAATATAATTTCTAGCCAATAATAATGTGGCAATTTTAGACAATTTTTTAATTGGTGAATTTTGAGTGTATGGTAGTACAGATCTGGAAAATTAAAGAATAACATCAACATTCCCCGGGGGGGGGGGGTTTCAGTAAATGAATCATAAAAACTACATGATTTTATTGAAGTTCCTAGATGTTGTTTGATTAGGAAAACTATTGACATGAATAAATTCATTCAGTCAGTCAGTCAGTTGCAACGTAGAACTTTGTACGTAAGTACATCAGTTCATGTCGCCATACAACATCAGCACAGAGATGTAATTGGCAATTCAAATCCAAGAGTAGTAGAGGTATTAAAGGTATGAGAAGTAATAGAGAGATTAGGATTAGAAGATATTATTCAAGAAGTATGATTCAGTGAGATAAGTTTAGAAAGTCAAAACTAGAGGTGTTGAAGAATTCAGAAGATTAGGATTTGAGAGAACACAAAGAATAAATGCACCGGCGCCATTGCCAACGATTTTGAGCCATGTCATTCAAGGTCTCTAACCATCGATTATTATCATCTCGCGGAACCCAACCAGGTAGCCGACAACTACCAACATGGCTTAGTCTAGTTATCAGTGACTTCATGGATTTGTGCCATGTTTTAGTTTGGCCACCCCTAGCTTTCTTCCAACCTATTCCCACACTACAAAACATGAATAAATTACTCCATAATTGATCAGTTTCAGTTGTTTAAAAACATTGACACATTTAAAAGTTCAGTCTGATTGATTAAAATACTTATATTCATCTTGAACATTGATTGTACAAAATTAATTTCAAAATTATCATGAAGTTTAATGAATCAGTCTGAAAATATTTTGTTCATTTGAGAATAGAGACTATGAATTACAAGTGAAGATATTTTAAACAATGTTCAACTTAGAAAGACTTTTTGGGGCAGAGTTTTGGAGGTTTGCGTTTTTACACATTTGAAATCATCAACCAATCATTGTTA